GAGTTTTTTTCTCCGCGGTGGCACGCTAGCTAGAGTTTCCCTAGTTCCCAGTCGAGAAACTGAAAGGAAAAACGTGACATCATCAAACAAACTAAATTACTACTCCTTGGTGCTCAAAGTCTTTAATTAGCTGATCGGTCCGGTAACTGAAGCCGGACCAGTACAAAAGACAGGTATAACACTCATTGAGGTGATATTATAGAGTACGTCGACGGAATATGTTTTTCTGCACGGATTCGATGAACGTGTACCGGCTTTGCATATTAAATTGACACGTAATGTCAAAAAGCATTTGCTGTCGTGCTAGTAGCCTCAATATTTTTCCGCACTTTTGGACGCCTCGTCTACAACATCGCTACTAGTACGTACGTATATCTAAAAAGATCATCTTGTAGCTAGTAGGAGTACGTACGTGTATAGGGCAGAGAGCATCTACGTATTTCATTCATGGCGTCCACATCCGCCTCATCGGTGGATTGGCTCGCAGCTCTCCCATCACCCCTGTTACGTGGTCGACGTCTCCGTGATACTTCCTCCTTCCATCTATATAAAGCCTAATGTGTTTTTTAAGACATCCTTTGACTATTGACAAGATTAATAATACATGACATGCATAATATAAAAATTATATCATTGAAAATTTCTTTCATATACGAATTTGACAATGTGCTTTGTGTAAGTTGCATGTCATATTTTATTGCTCTAACATTTGATCAAAGTTAGCCTCGAAAAACATATTAGGCCCTATATAAAAAGAAGAAGGGAGTATATAGAATACGCCAGCTGCGGGGCCTTGCTGCGTTTTTCTTTGGACTGCTAATGCACGGTGCTCCTAGTTCTTTGCATCTTATAATCTGGAACGTTGCAACAACCACCATTAATCGCCTCATGATCGCTAATCAAGTCCCGCATCAATTAAGCATGCTTGATTTGCCACCAGACATGAGAATTGATTATTGGAATGCTGTAGATGCTGTATACACTCTCCTTCCATCTATATAGGCCTAATGCATTTTTCGAGGCTAACTTTGACCAAATGTTAGAGCAATAATATATGACATGCAACTTACACAAAGCACATCATCAAATTCGTATGTGAAAGAAGCTTTCAATGATATAATTTTCACATTATGCATGTCATGTAGTATTAATTTTATCAATCGTCAAATGCAGTCTTGAAAATGCATTAGGCCCTATATATACATGGAAGGAGGGAGTATATGCACACTGCCAGTGTGCATTTGAGTAGTGACAAAACGAGACGGATAGGTGTCCCTTTGCGAGCTGGCTGGCTGTTTACGTACGATCTTCCGCACCGGGACATACACCGGTCGCTAGCCGCTCGTGCCTGCATCGGCACAGCCCCCGCGCCGGGACCAGCGATCGCAATGGACGGCGCGCGTACTGTGCCGCCGCAGGACCCGCGACGCTGCACCTAACTCTTTTGGTGTTTTCTTCCTTCCTCGCCTCCGGTGACCGATGATCAATGTGCTGTGTGAAGCGGTGGCGACGCCGCCGCCGCCGGCCGAGACGTGCTACCCTATACCTATACGTAGCCTGGGCCGTCATTTAACTCTCGCCGGATACATACTGGTACATGCACGCGGCCACGCGGCGATGTACGTATTCATGAACCTGCGCCGCCGAGCTCGTGCCCGTCTAGCTGTCGCCCGCCGTCCTTGCGAGAGAATCTTCTTCGCTGGTAGGAGTACGTACTACGAGTAGGTACGTACGTTGGGGGAGGCGGGGAAATTGAATTGCTGCTGTACTACCATTGCGACGATCGTCCACACATGCATGCATGCATTCCTTGTTCCTTCCGCCCGAACTAGGAATCAGGCCACACACAGTGATCTGATCTCATCGTGCTCGTGTTGTGTGTAAGTGTAAGCTAGGAATGTGTAAACTAGTCCATGTCTCGTTGCTGCCGGGGCTGGGTGAGCTGGAGCTCCATCATTCGACCCGTCAGACACTGAACCTGAGTGCCGCCCGCCGCCCTCCCGAGAGCCGTCGGTTTCTTAATCGCGACCCGGCTCGTGTTTGGCACCCTCCGGTCGCGCGATTAGCCCCCACGGCCGCCTCGGGGGTGCCCGGTTAGGGTTATGATAATCGCGGCCGCGGATCCCGAGAGCGCCCGGGCGGCGGCAGCTACTGTTGAATCAGGAGCGCGCCGTGCCCCGGGGGCATAGTATAATGGCAACAGGCCGGGCGCTGCGCGGCACGATCGATCGGGGGAGAGGGGAGCTAGGCGGGAGCGGGCGTACGTGGTCGTCCCAATAAAGAAAGGCGGGGCGTGCCTCACCGGCCGGCGCGCGTCCCGCTGTCCGACGGCTGGCGGGCGACCCCGCCGAATGTCAAACCCCAGCGGCCAGCGAACAGCTCACGCGCAGGTGCAGGCGCAGCTCAGCGGGCGGCCGGCGGACGTGGGACGGTGGAGCAAGTTGGGTCCTCCTCGTTCATGCATGGTGGCTCCGGCCGGCCAGCCGGCCAGCCGGCACTGTGGCTGTCCGGGGTCTGGGCTGGGCTGGACACTGGACAGCCTTGATTCCTGCGGCTTCAACGTAACTGCTCGATGGTTGAGGTGCAATGTCCCGGCGCGGCGCTGAGCCCCACGCTGCGCCCTTTCTCCCCACCGGCACTGAACCCCACTGGTGAACATTGCACCTGAGAGCCTTGCTCGGTACCACGTCCACGACAGCATCATCAAATCGTGCGCCAGTGATCAACATTATGTTGCGCATCTAAGAAACCATGGTCGTGTGGTTGGTGTGGATAGCACTGTGTTCCTTTCCTTGACGAGAGAAACTCAAAAAATATGTTTATCAATTATAGCATGTCTAGACGATGAAATTGACTAAGAATTTCTTATGTCCAAGTTCATGGTGCTTGCCCTATGATCCACTTGGCATACAATAATGGAAGGATGTAAAAAATATGAAAACATATTAAAGAAACGTTCTTGATTTTTTTTCCACAAAACAACCTGAAAAATCTCGGCTTTATAGATAAAAACGCAAATCCTAAAAAAAAATGGAAACCAAAGAATTTATACAAAAAGGAAGATTTTGTTAATGATTATAAAAAACACAAAGGAAAAACATAGAAATAGG